GAAAAAGCCCCCCCCCCTTCCCCTGAATTAGAAGAATTAGCCAAACAAGTCAGGCAAACATTTTTAAGAACTGGTAGCCTGCACTGTATCGGTACATAAAAAAAGAGGATAATTGAAGTATGACAAGAATGATGGGTCCTATTTCTATATTTCTAAAAGGTTATTCAGAATTAATTTTTAATCCACGGGGGTGTACGTCCTGTCTATGTTGTTTTTTGATGGACGTGTTCATTTCATGGACTGGTTTAACATTCTTTAACAGTGAGCACCAAAGCATGTTAAAGAATGCATGGAATGGTAAAATATATAAAGTACCAACAAGAAATAAGAGCAAAGTCGAAACAATTGAACTTCACTTGAAAGGACTCAAACACATTCAAATACAACAGTAAAGGCAAGGGTTTTCAATAATTTTCATAATCTTAGGTGACAATCTTCTCTCAACAGTCATACATTTTCAGAATTTCTATACACTTTTTGCATTCCACCACTTTACATCTGTAATCCCAGTCAGTTGTTGACATAAAATGTGAAAGTACAATGAGACTCATCATCATTATCATCATCATCCAGCGCCAGATTTGCGACCGACATCGGCGATCATGGTTCTCCATTCATTCCTTTGGTCGGATGCTCTAAAAAAAAAAGCAACATTTCCCTGATACCCATTTGTTTAGATTTCCTAAATATTAAAGGCAAGGGTTTTCATAACCTTAAGGGTTTTCATAACCTCAAGGGTTTTCATAACCTCAAGGGTTTTCATAACCTTAGGTGACATTCTTCTCTCAGCAGTCATACATTTTCAGAATAATTTCAATGAGACTACTTCAGAAAAATACATTCGATGAAAAGATAAAGATGATTCCCTTATCAACAGTGAATGTACAGTGTGCAGAGTACAAAATGTTCAGTCTTTTCTAGTTTAGAATTTTAAAAATTAGCTAGAGTACCCCCTCCCCCCCTCCCACCCTTTGCACTAGAGAGTAGCCTGTGTACATATAATGCTGCATAGCTGAATGTTGGGCCTAGTCCATCATGATGGCACAAATATTTATTTTTGGCCCTGGAACGCCTATGAGTATTACTTTTTATGAGCCAACCCAGTCCTTGAAAGACTTCTAACTTCTAGGCAAAATCTTGCCATTGCTCTCTGACATCTCTGGTACTTAAGAAAGTATGGGTGGGGCTCTCGTGGCCTAGAGGTTAAGGTGTTGGCCTCTCATTCAAAGGTCCTGGGTTCGATTCCGGGTGCGACCAAAACATTTTCTTCTCTAAAATTGTCTCCTTTCACCTCCTTTCCTACTCTCTAGCAATGATCTGTTGTCTGCTTTCATTTCCACTTTCTGCCCCCACCCCCTCACCTCCTTTGCCCCCTCCTCTGGG